CAAAGTTTAAAGATGTTAGTGAAAAGCTTCAGGGTGAGGACGTGGACTTAGAACAAACGGTGGTGTTGTATTCTCTAGAATCGTTCTTAACAGCCTTGAGAAATGAAGAAGAATTTTCCAATTTTGAAATTAAAGCAAAGACCATCTGTGACAGTGAGAGTTATAAGAAAGATAAAACTAGGAAAAAGAAGTTGAAGGTACCTTTTGGTGAAAGTAAAGAGGGGTAAACAGAGTTTGATGGACGGAAAGAATTTCTCGTAAATTCTTATTACAGCGCAATTGACACACTTAAAAGCCATCTGGAGAGAAGGAAAGAAGTTTATTTGAGCCTAAGGGACTCTTTCTGCTTTTTGTGGAGTTTGAATGAAGTGGAAAACACCACCTTAAAAGAGAAGGCAAACCATCTGTTAAAAATGTACCCTTCAGACTTGGACGTTTCATTTCCAGAAGAATGTCTGTACCTTAAAGAATTTTTACAAGAAAATGGCGAATTCTACAAAGAAGAAAAGGAAATTCTAGAATCGAAATCAAAAATGAAGGTAAAAAAAACTGTGGAAAAAAGTGCAAAATTGGGCACTAAGGCTTACAGACTTTTGAAACACTTGAAGTATCTGAAGATAGAATCACTTTTTCCAAATGTTGAAGTGGCTTTAAGAATATTTTTAAGTATGGCCGTAACAAACTGCAGTGGTGAAAGATCGTTTTCTGCTCTTGGGCGAGTGAAGAACTTCCTTAGATCAACTTTAAGTCAAGATAAAATGAAGTCACTTGCACTTTTGTTTATTGAAAATGAGTTTGTGGAAACAATATCCTTTAACCAAATAGTTGAATCATTTGCGTCAGCCAAAGCACGAAAGAAAGACTTTGCATAAATTTGCCTAGTTCGCATAAGTTTTGGATCAAATGTTGATGAACATTCGTGAATAGGGACAGATATTTATAATCATTATATTTATAGTAGGCCTAATGATTGATTTGTAAAAACATTTAACGATACTTGTTGTTGCAGATAAATACAGATAAATGCTGTAAACTAAGTAATTCCATCTAAAAGGCACTAATCAAATTGTTTTAGGCCTAGCAGGTGATTAACAGAGTTAATTAAGAAAGTACTTACCTATGTTATTGTTCGGTTTTTTGATATTTTAGGTTAGGTCTACTTTTGATTTAATACAATCATATATGTTTAATAAAATGTAAAATAAATGCATAATTTTTTAAGTTTTACATTCCTTGAACAACCGATTTGTTTCTATTTTAAAAGTTCCTAATCAAACCATGCATTTATGTATGATCAGTTTTCTTTTGTTTTTAAATAAACTGAATAGTAGTATAATGCCTTTCTTTGGCCATTTTTAATTTTTGAATTCAGTATTACTGTTTATACTTAAAAATTTTGAAAGTGGTGGCAGATTGGAGGGGTAGTGTGAGGGAGGGGGGGCGGGGAGGGGGCGCGAAAAAATGTCAGCCTACTGGCGACTAGACCCTTAATCAGGCCCTGGTTCACCCTAAACAAAGACAAATGCTTGTTCTCTCAAACCTCGCTAACCTACTTAGGTCACCATTTATCCAAATCAGGAATCAAAGTCGAAGTTATAAGAAAAATGGCACCTCCAACAGATATTTTGGGTGTTCAAAAAGGTTACTTGGCATGGTTAACTTCATTGGCAAATACATACCGAACAAGAGCCAGTTACTAAAACAAGCTGTTACCCACGGGCTTCACCCCGTTTGACTTCATAAGTATTAATAAAACTATTGATTGGTTAAGTTAATCTGAAATAAACAAAACAGAATACAGTAATACAAACAAACAAATAATCACACCCGATTTTAATAAGGTAATAATTTTAAAGAATGACATACAATTAAGTACAGCTGATGTATTTTTAACATTAAGTATATGGAAAGTTCTCTTTGGAAAGCAATTACGACCTTAAAGGGCAATTTACGAAATAATGGATGGTTGCACAAGGTTTCTCGTCATTACAAACATTTTAAGTATATGGTTTATGGGGGTGTGAGTTGTAGTTTTCCCAGAAGTTCATGGGTACTTTGGGCTTTATATATGGATTCATTACCGACCTACTAAGTAGCAAAAACGAATGGTGTTGGGATTGTGAACAACAAAAAGCATTTGATGAACTGAAAGAATTATTGGCTTCTCCACCTCAACTTGCATTCTATGATAAAAATAAACCGACTATGATTTCTGCTGACTCTTCTGCACATGGATTGGTTGGAGTTCTTTTACAACAACAATCAGATGGTAATACAGAGTGGGCCAGATAAAACCGGTCCCGAGAGGCGTAGGCTTCATACGAGACGCGCCGATGTACAGCATGACGGGACATTGACCTTTCCCCTTCCACTACTGTCTGCCGTCCGTCCTGTCCTGTCTATCTGTCCACGTCAGTGTAGCTTGAGTGTTTGACCGAGCAGTGTGGATCATGCCGTATTCAATAGAACAGCGTGTTTTCATAGTGGAGGAATATGTTCGTACAACTTCAATAATGTTGGTCCGTGAAAAGTTTCTTGAGAAGTATCCTGAAGATGGAGTTCCTGCTAAATCAACCATTCAGGATTTAATTAAAAAGTGGCGTACAACAGGCAATGTGTCCAATATGAAGAGAGACAAACAACCAACTGTACGAACACCAGAAGCTGTGGCCAATGTACAGACCATTATTGGAAGGAGTCCTTCAAAGTCAACACGACGATTATCGCAACAAGTCGGAATTTCTCGAACATCTTGTCGGCGTATACTGCATGGATTAAAAATGCGTGCCTATCGTGTGAGTGTTGTTCAGGAATTGAAAGAGGTTGATTTGGCTAGACGCGTACGTTACTGTCAATGGGTTCTTCAAGAAATTGCAGAAGGTAACGTGGATCCATTTTTATTCATTTCTACAGACGAAGCATGGTTCCACTTATCAGGGTATGTAAATTCTCAAAATACGCGGTATTGGGCAACACACAATCCTCATGTAACCCATGAGAAACCACTGCATGACTTAAAAATTGGTGTTTGGTGCGCAATGTCTGGTCGCCGGATCATTGGACCAATATTCTTCGAGGAGACAGTTAATACAGACGTTTATCTACGGATCTATGAAGAATTTGTTACACAACTGAATCCAGAAGAAGTGTCATATGCGTACTTCCAACAAGATGGGGCAACCTGTCACACTTCTGATCGATCTCTCGCTCGAATCCACAGTGATTTTACTAAAGAGAGAACCATCAGTAAAGGCTTGTGGCCAGCCAGATCGCCCGACCTATCGCCTTGCGATTTTTATCTCTGGGGCCGTCTCAAAGGTAATGTCTATCACAACAACCCACGGACTTTAGAAGAATTGAAGCAAAACATACGACAAGAAATTGCCAACATTCCAGTAGAAGAATTGCAGACTGTTTTCCTGAACATGATTCGCCGTGCTGAAATTTGCATACAAGTTGGTGGCTCCCATTTTGAACAGAGACTGTAAATCCTTAAATGTACATGTTGTAAAATAGACAAAATAAAATTTCATTTTACTTAATATTATGCATTTTTTTTATTTCGCCTAGTCACTTTTTCAGTTTCCTGTACGCATTGTATGAGTATTACGTAAACTCGCTCGGGACCGGTTTTATCTGGCCCACCCTGTAGGAAACCTATTTCTTATATCTTACACACTCTGAGCGAAACCGAACGAAACTACTCTAACATTGAACGAGAAGCTCTATCATTAACATGGAGCTGTGACAAGTTATACATCTACATTGTGGGCAAGCACATCATGCTGGAAACAGATCACAAAGATTTGGTTAGTATGTTGACTACTAAAGAGATCAATGATATTACACCCCGTCTTCAAAGACTAAGACTAAGATGTCTGATGAGATATTCCTACAATGTGACGTATACATCTGGCAAACATTTAGCCAAAACGTAGCCATATGGGAGCATTCACACGAGCAGTCGGTCATCGCGCTGCAGCTCGCATACTCCCCTTTGTTCTCATTGTGCGCCAGTGATGGATCCGAGTGGCTTTGATATCGATATTTTCATCTATCGACTCGTCGCTCGTGTGAACCAGTGTATAGCCGGGTCATGAAAAAGTCGCTTGTGTAAACCGTGCATTAGACAAGAAATGTTGACAAGAATACATACACGCCACCTAGGCATTACGAAATGTCGACTTAGAGCCAACAATGGTATGTGGTGGCCAGGAATGTCACTTGATATTGAGAAATTTGTTAATGATTGTCCAAATGTACTGAACATAGAACACAACATCATGAACCCCTTTTACCCAGTGAGCTTCCATCTCGTCATTGGGAAAAGGCAGCGATTGATCTCTTCAAACTCGAAGGAACATGGTTCGTAGTAATCACTGACTGTTTTTCACGTTATTTTAAAATAGCTACATTAAAAAAACCTGTCAATTGCTGAGATAATTGAGAAATGCAAATCTGTATTTTGCCGCCACGGTATTCCAATTGAGCTGCGATCTGATTGTGGTACACAGTTTGCTACCAGATACACTGGTCTTGAAAACTCTGAATTCAAAAATTTTGCTCAAAACTATAACTTAAGCAAAAGCATAACTTGTGACGAGCAGCACAAGCTACCACCAAAGTAACGGTGCAGCAACAACTATGCTTTAGAGCTTGATTGATCCACTGACAACATTGGAGGGAATGATGGCCTTAACGGACCAATCACAGAGTAGCCTCTAATATAAACCAGCTCCTTGGCTGTGTGCAGTAAGTAACAAACTTGCTTGTTGCCAACAGGCTTTGTGAAAGACCTCTATGTAAACCGCACAGTAGACCTACACTTCCACCATATACCTCCTTCCTAGGACACATTGTATTTACTTCACCTGGAGACTGCAACGTGCGTAAATTCTACCTCTATCTCCATGTCTAGCTTCTCTCAGTATGTGACTTCCTTTATCTTCCTTTATAACTCTGTTATAACAAAAATACTCATTATGAATTATTGTTTACAGATGTTGGCATCCTCACTCTCACTCAGTATATTCTGTTGGACCCTATACTGCTGTTCTTTGTGATGGGATCTACTTATGGAATGGCAAAATGCCATTGTGCCAACAACAAGTTAGTACTCCTACTATTTAACTCAAAATTTATATTATACTCTTCAGCTTAAACTGTCTTGTTCTAATGTTCTACCAATCAAAGATTTAATGTTTACCTTATAAACAGCTATTTAATAGAAATCTCAATTTTTTTCTCAAAACGTCCAATAAATTAAGTGCAAAAATCCATTTAACGTGTAGTGATGTGACCAGGGACTTAACCCTTTGGCCGCCACGGTCCGATATATCGGATGTCTGCTAAATGTTTGTTTACTGACCACCTCTATGTCCAAAAGCCACAAATAACACACCAATCGAATCAGCATCATCTGGGCTTCATGTAGCAAGAGCTTTGACTGCCTTTGTTTGTGTTTTTTTCTCGTGATGGACGAGATTTCCCAAGATGGCGTCGTCTGATAAACAGTGATCATGTGTTTGTAGATAACTTCTTAAGACTTATAAGTTGTTCTGGTGCTTTTTTAGTTAGTAAATATGACTAAACTTGGTCGAGATAAGTCGACAGTGAGTGAAGACACAATATTTCATAACTTGACAGAGATTGGTGTGCAATTGGTGAGTTGAGTGATCATTTCATAAATTCTCGAGGCCTATTTGTAGGTAATGTCTTTATGTCCATACTTTTGGCAGATTATCTATACAGGGTGTCCCGGAACTCTCTACCAATATTTTAGGGCATTGCTCTTGGGTAAGAAACATACCTAAATATCATATTTAAAATGTCTGGAAGTCCTTAGTTACTCACACAGCCGCCATTTTGTTTTTTTCAGTTATTAATTTTTTTCTGAAGAATAGTTAAACATATGAAATTGAAACTTTGCACAAACATTTAGGACAACTAGACAAAGCTACAAAAGAATTATAAAGATTTTTCAAATTTATAAAACAAAATGGCGGCCATTTACAATTTTTGTAAAATCAACGGTTTTTGAGTTATTTAAGAAACAAAATTTTAAATGACCGCCATTTTGTTTTATGAATATGAAAAATCGTCATAATGTTTTTGTAGCTTTGTCTAGTTGTCATAAATGTTTGTGCAAAGTTTCAATTTCATATGTTTAACTATTCTCCAGAAAAAAATTAATAACTGAAAAAAGAAAATGGCGGCTGTGTGAGTAACTAAGGACTTCCGGACAATTTAAATATGATATTTAGGTATGTTTCTTACCCAGGAGCAATGCCCTAAAATATTGGTAGAGAGTTCCGGGACACCCTGTATAAAAGGATGACTTACATTACAGGCACTATGAGGAAAAACAGGAAAGGTATACCTGATACTCTCGACAAAAATATGAGGAAGGCCAAAAAGATTACAACCTTAAAGACCACAAATTGATGGTTGTGTACAAGGAAAAAGTCTCCCAAAAGAACCCAGTACTTCTTCTGTCAACTAAGTGTGTTACAAAATCAGTAGTAAGAAATAATGAGGTAATTGTAAAAGAAAACCCAGAGATAATAGATTTGTACAGCTCCTTCATGGGAGGTATTGACCATTCAGATCAGATGTTATAGGTTACGCCTACCTCGGTGAGCGACGGACCGATCAGTATTAGAAAAAGGTTGTATTACACATTTTTCAAGAATAATTTTGAACTTTTACCTTATATATAAGGAAAACCATAGTGGAAAAGACATGAATAGGTTTCAGTTCATATTACAGTATCTATAATTGACAGTATGTCAAAAGAGTGGCTTGTCCATAAGTATCAGTTAGCAGGAGGAGACAATTTTCAGATGGCAGGAGTAGACAATCAGCGGCAAAAATTACCAATTTGGAATGGAAACCTTACCAGATAAAAAAGAGAGAAACTGCTGTGTATGTAGTAGGCTATTGCAGCAGGTGGAAAAAGAAAGAAATCCCGAACCATATGCACTAGAGTGTCTGAAAGGTGTACATGCCCTGTGTTTTAGCCAACAAAGGTGCTAGACGATGTTAGACCATTAAAATTTTTAGGCTAAGTGTATGTATATAGTCAAGGCCACACTAAAATAACAGGCCGTAATGCTCGCCTAGAATGACGTCACGATAGAAGACGGCTATGACGTATAAGTACTTATTTATTTATTTTCCAATGAAAGATTAAAACAAACAGCTGATCACAAACGGCAAAATTACGTCATTGCCGTCTTCTATCGTGACGTCATGCTGGACAAGCATTACGGCCTGTTTTTTTAGTGTGGCTTTGATATAGTTTTATGTTGTAAATAGTTGGTGTTATCTTTGTTTTTTGGAATAATGAAAAACTGCTGGCTTCTTACTTTTCTTGTGCATGATATGGCATTAGACTTTATATAGCGCATTTGAGAGACACGAAGACATCAAAACGCTCTGAAGACAATTTATTTCAAACCCTGAAAAGAAGCTTATTTTCAATGTAGGATTTCCAAATTTCGCATTCTTACTAACAAAAGTGTGTAGTAATAAAAAATTACTCAAATATTGGTAAAATATTTTTTATGCATTTAGTTATTTTGGTTGTACTCAAAGTTTTTATTTATTTATTTTTATTTTTTGAAATTACATTTGGTAACATAACAAATTCTTTGAAACCTTTATAAATATTATATTTTTATAATTCAATTTTATTACAATTCTAGAAAAAATTAATTTATCAAAATATTTGCAAAAATAAAAATGTTGTAGCCATTTTATATAAGCATTGAGTTTAAGTACAAAATGGCCTCGGCGGTTCTCGATTAGACGAATAAATAAAATGCTGGCAGCGAATGGGTTAATATGTTAGATATACTGTAATTTAGTTGTCACCTAATTATCAGCTGACAGATTCTGTCAGCTGATAATTATTTCTTACTACTGAATGTTTAAATAGTTTTGTTATTTTTGGTTACTAGGAAGTTAGAAACAAAACAAGGATTAGTATATTTTAGGCTTTCCACCAAAAATGATTGATTTAATTGAACATACTTTTTAAAATAACAAGCAATTGCTTAGTACAAATAAATTGGATAAATTTTTGTTGGGAAGTCTAAAATATGCTGATCCTTGTTTTGTTTCTATCTTCCTAGTAACCAAAAATAACAAAACTATTTAAACATCTGTCAGCTGATGATTAGGTGACAATTAAATTATATTTAACATTTTAAGTAGTTTTTGAGTTTATCTCATACAAACACACAGACACCACCTCTTCTTTATAATATTATAGATTTTAAGTCTCTGGTCAACCAACAAATATCAAGAGACACGGCATCAACCGAAGCTTCATTTTTTGTGATTTGGACACATATTTGCTTGTTTTTCTGAGGCTGGATGCTATGAGAAAATCTTAATAACATCCATACACTGGACCTCATCCAGTGATCAAGAAATACGGTAAAAATAACACAATAAAACTGAATGTTTCTAATGTTAATGTTAGTCTTGAAAGATTTAAACCGGCTTTCAGAACGATTAAGTTAAGCCCTCAACTGTATCTCAAACTTCAAAGGATGTGGATCTTCTAAAGTCATATACGACAAAGTCTGGAAGAAAAGTTAAATTCAAGAATCCAGTTTCAGTTTGATGGTGCACGTTTATCCTTACTGTTATTTTATTTTATTACTTTTAATTTTGTTTTGTGACTTTTCGGAACCCTCCCGAAACTCCATGGACTTCCAATCTTCGCAGGGGGCTCCTCTAGTGATGTGACCAGAGATGTTAAAATGTTAAATATATTTTAGTTGTCACCTAATTATCAGCTGACAGATGTTTAAATAGTTTTGTTATTTTTGGTTACTAGGAAGATAGAAACAAAAAACGGATCATTATATTTTAGGCTTCCCAACAAATACTGATTTAATTTATTTGTACTAAAGAATTGCTTAATACTTTAAAGAGTATATTCAATTAAATCTATAATTTTTGGTGGAAAATCTTTAGGTATTTCTTCTGGTATAAATAAAGTCTTATTTTAATACGAGGTTCTTTCCACTAAAAACGTATCACGTTCATTATAGAATTTGATGGGAGTTTTGTACACTTTTCGGACACTTCACCAATTAATTGTAACAATGATAACCAGTTTTTGCTATTGACATCATTTGGGAAAGATAGATTTGGCCAGGTTGAAGGATTTTGTGGTTGATAGAATGAATGCAGGCTCACCTTACTGATGAATATGGTTGAAAGACTACAACTGGAAAAGATTTTAGTAGTTTTGAAAACTCTATGTTTCATGTGTTTAAATGAGCTTTCCACTATTATAATCACATAGTTGTAACATGGTCTCTTTTATCAGGCCGTTCTCAGTCCAGTGGTGGGCTTGGTTGGTCTTCACTGGAACAATGATAGCCTGTGCTGTCAGTGTCAAGTTTGTGGGACTGTTCATTGTCCTTCTTGTTGGATTTTGCACCGTTACGGAACTGTGGGATATCTTAGGAGATATCAGCAGACCTGTGGTAAGAACAAATACTTCTCAATCATATATTATTTCAAAAGTATATTAGTGAATTGTAACTTTCATTTCTATTGATTCTGTTCACATTACTGACACTAGCTGATGTACATTTACCGCGGCAATGAATACAGGGTGTCCAGCTGACCTGGAAACCGGGAAAACCAGAAATTGTATATGGATTTTGATGACCGAGAAAAAGTGGTATCTTTTTCACCAAAAGTAAATATCTCAAACTATACAGCAAACTTTTAGGTTGACTCTAGGTTTTTTACTGTATGTTTGGGCTGCTCCTAAAATACTTATACCTTTGATACCCATTATAATATATCTTTACCCGTAATAATTAAATTGTGATAAGGCTAGTGTTTCCTGAATTGGTAGATTCCGATACCGATTCCGATTCTACAACTTTGGTTTCGATTCTCGATTCCGCACTCGATACCGATACCTGTTAAAAATTCATTTAATAACACATTTAACTTATGTGTGCTTCTCGCCATCGCTATAAATAAAGGAGCATGTTATTTTTATTTAATCTTTATACAATAAGATAACTGCATGCTATTAATTAAGGTTACATAAACACGCACAGCAAACAAACAACAAAACCAAAACATTGGTTACACAATTAATTTGTCATTTGCAAAGTCACGACAGTTGTTTCAGTTCAGTAAGAAAGAAACAACATATAACGAAAAAAAATAAATCGCTAAACGGCCGTCTCCAATAGTCGCCATGAAGCCCTGAATTAGCTGAACAGTTAGTACAAGTAAGCTGGGGCAATGATCACGCATAATATATAAAAATAACGAACAAAACTTAGCACCTACAAACTCTCCCAATTTTGGGTGGGCGACACTCGTACGCATCAGAAAACCTGCCCAATAAGGGGTGGGCTATACCATAGACTAATCAACACAAGTAGACTCCTCATCCCATTGTACATTTTGAAGCTTGTTTTTTGTCTCTAGTTCATGTACGTCCACACTGATGGCTAGTGTAGACAAAATTTTGTTTCTATTATTTAAGGGTTATTTTCATGATTTGTGCTTTACTATTTGGTTATATGACTAGAAGACCAGTTATTGTTTATGATTATCCAGTTTTATTTGGTTAAATGATGTTTTAAATGACTGAAATATCAAGAAACAAATTGTAAACAAAACATAACCTCTACAGTTGGACGTACAGAACTAACAATAAAATTGGCTTCAGCTGTTCCATAAGGATGACAAATCTACTAAGGGAGTATGTTTTATCTATGGCTATACTTAGAGGGTTAAAGGATCAACCACTGAATATATTATTACGAAGTGTGTTTATAGTCAATGATATTATTATTATACACTATGATCAGCAAGTTATCAAGCTCTCAAGCTGCTAATGAAATGTACATAAACCCTATCACGAGTTAGAAAACGTGAGTTATACTAGTACCATTGACTATATATACACTTTATGTGTATTATATTTATATATTCAATGCTTGTACCATCTGGCAACATTGCCCTCGATCTGACAACATGGCGGCAACTAGAGTTCTGTTGTTTTGCTCTGCTAGTTGTCACTGTTGTCAATCAGGTGAACACAACTACACATCATTCGGCGGCACTAGTTGTGAAATGCAAAGCAAGCTATTTTGGATTATAAAACTTTTACGAATGTGAGATAATGAACTTGGAATTATTTGTATTAGCTGACTTCAGAGTATTCCAAATAAACTAAGATGTGCCACTCTCTACAACCTTCAATGTCAGTTGAGTTTGGCATCATAATTAACCTCACTTTTCAGAATCGGTATCGATTACAATGAAGCGAAATATCGAGTATGGGCAATTCTTCGATACCACTGGAATCGGAATCGGCCCTTCCCTAGCTATAACATAACATTTGGTTTGTAGGTTTATTGAAACTGGTCAGGGAAAACATGTTCTGTTGTAATTCATTTTAGTTTGTCACTAGATAAAAATAGCAATTCAGTTATTCACATAAAACGCATATTTTGATTTATATTTAGATGTAATGTTCATTTCGGCCGCAAATCCCACTTCAACGCTTTTCACATCGACACAATTGCTGTTTTATTGTAAAATTATCGGATTTAAAATGCATATCTTATAGGCTTATAATGGGATGAAAACATCATATTTGGTTATGCGACATTTGTTTACAAGGTGATTTTTCACATTCAAACTGCAAGAAAATTTGTCTTTATACGTGTAAACTAGCTGTTCTGAATTATACACAGTTTTAACTTACTACTCCATTCCCGTACGTAGAACGGGCTAACACATTGTGTTATTTAAATAGATTTATATATAAATCCAATCAGGCAAATGAAAATTTGCATAGTCTGCAGGTTTGCTGCGGCGGGGGTATTTATTTAAGTAAGGAGTTTAATATAGAGGGTAGTGGGGGTTGTATATTAAAGGGGTGGGGTGCCAAAAAGATCCTCACATGTTCAGGAAAAACACCTTGCACCAGCCCTGCGGATCGGTGAACTTGGAACTACTGATATTGTTTTGATAATGAACAAAATAAAAGAATAACCCGAAACCTGGGTCTGCTACATGAAGTTGGCCTACTTGTTTGAAAACATTATTGGATTGATATATTTACACTCTGTTGCCATGGCCAGATTGATCCCAGATAACAGTGTTTATTATCCTCATTATTGGATTGATAGATTTACACTCTGTTGCCATGGCCAGATTGATCCCAGATAAATAGTGTTTATTATCCTCATTATTGGATTGATAGATTTACACTCTGTTGCCATGGCCAGATTGATCCCAGATAATAGTGTTTATTATCCTCATTATTGGATTGATAGATTTACACTCTGTTGCCATGGCCAGATTGATCCCAGATAAATAGTGTTTATTATCCTCATTATTGGATTGATAGATTTACACTCTGTTGCCATGGCCAGATTGATCCCAGATTAATAGTGTTTATTATCCTCATTATTGGATTGATAGATTTACACTCTGTTGCCATGGCCAGATTGATCCCAGATAAATAGTGTTTATTATCCTCATTATTGGATTGATAGATTTACACTCTGTTGCCATAGCCAGATTGATCCCAGATAAATAGTGTTTATTATCCTAATTATTATTGGATTGATAGATTTACACTCTGTTGCCATGGCCAGATTGATCCCAGATAATAGTGTTTATCCTCATTTTTATGAATATATTTTATTTCAGACATACACAGCCAAGCATTTCATCGCCAGAGTAATTTGCCTCATAATTTTGCCAGCTTGCCTCTACATGTCATTTTTCTATATACATTTGACAGTACTAAGCAAAAGGTAGGTTTCTGTATTTTAGTAAGTTGTATTTACAAATTTATAAATTAAATATTTATTTTACTTACTTTAATCTTGGCCCAGAGCCTTTCCTTGAACAAAACTAACATTTCTATAGTATTTGTATACATTATGGATTTAGTAGTGATGGAACTAGCTATTGATGGTCAAAACCAGAAAACTCGAATCTCAAAACCGAAACCGAAACTTTTAAAAATCAAATCCCGAATCTCAAATCTCAAATCTATATGTGAATCTTTTTTACTTAGCTGGTAACAAAGGTCAAGGTTACAAAAATACAGATAACAATAAAATGTTAAGTATGCAATCAAAACTGAATGAGATCGACTCCTGACACTGAAATATTTGTCTGATAATGATACGGTAATCTTAAACTTGAATACAAAATATTTTTTTATAAACAACCAACATTAAAATTAAACCCCTAACACCAACATAAACATGACTATTAGATTAATTACAACATTTAGTAGTCAATATTTCTTTGTGTTATGAAATATTGATATGAAACTGAATCGTACATCATTAAAGCTATAGTGTTTAAGATGCCTTTTTTAAAGGTTCAGAATACAGTTTACTTTTTTATTACTGTTGATGGTGATATGTTTGCTCTATTGCTACGAGCTAGTGTGGAAACAGTGTTATTAACAATAATAATGACACAAAAAATATCAGCAGTTTCAAAAATAAAACTGCAAAAATCTTCGAAACTTTTGAATCTTGAAACTCTGTGATCGAATCTCGAAACCGAAACTTTTCCAAAGTTTTGATGGTTTTGAGATTTGAGATTCGGTTTTGACACATCTTTAGAACTAACGCTCCTTTCACACTATCCGATTTCATTTGTCAGATTAAAAATCTTATTTGTAGTCAACCATTGAAGCTTAAGAGTCGGCAGGACCACCTACCATCTTCGATTTTCTGCCCATAACAGCAATGTTAATGGTCGAAGCATGCGCTTGCTATGTCACAACAGTTTGTGGTTGGATGATTAGTAACCATGACAACTTGTTGAAGTGTGGATGAAGAGAAACCAAAGAAAGAATAGAAGAACAAAGCAAAATAATAAGTGGTGTTTTACGTCATTGTTATCTTTATCTTATTTTACAACTGTTGTAATCTTTAAGATTTAAGTACTAAGATTTTATGCCGTATTATGAGTTATTTAATGTTTTTATCCACATTCTCATGGTACGACCTAGGCCCGGGACCGATTTACTTTTTCATTTTGATGTCCCCAGAGGCCAAAAACACCATTCTATCAAATTTTTATATATGCATATATATAAACATATATAGGCTATACTCCTTCAGATTAATACAACGAATGTCCAACAACAATCGGCAACCAATGAATAAATATGAAAAATCAGGAATATACCAAATCAATTGCAAAGATTGTTCTAAATTTTATAGGGTGATCAATTTCTTGCCGATTCAAAGAACACATTCAATCAGTAAAATCCAACAACATGACAACTCAAAAATCAATGTACGCGGAACACATTTTATCACATAACCATAGTTATGGAAAAATTGATGATAGTGTCAACATTTTAGAATATGAACAAAAAGGAGAAAGTATGAATGTAAAAGAAGAATTACATATATATCTAGCAACAAGAAAAAATGAAAGCAACATCCTTAACATAATGCAAACACAAAATTTAAACCCAATTTATGATAAGATCCAAGAATTAAGACAAAATTAATAATTAAAACCATTGGCATAACGATATTCTTAATTATATAATTTTCCAAGTCAAGATAGATTTAGTTAAAATTTAAACATGTGATTTTATTTATTTTCTTTGTTTACATATTAGATTTAATAACATTGTGAAAGACTGTGACCATGACCTTAATGTTGAAATGCATCAGTCATTAAAAATAATAAAAAAAAGGGTACTATGGTATATTATTTATTAATATTAATTACAGTAGCCCTACACGTGAACAATATCAAATATAATATGCATATATATATGTGTGTGTGTCCGTGAACAGAGTAATTTTTGTCCGATTTTGATTAAATTTGGTTTGAAGGTGTAAGGCGGGATAAACTTGAATAAGTTCCCAAACCAGCATGATCGGACCATGGGAAGGGGGTTTTATGTGGTAAAAATTGGTTTTTCTAATTTTTAACCCTCTAAACACAAATTTCCTAATTCCTCTCCAGACCATTTTAAAGAGCTTAAAAAATCAAATAATTTAGTATCTCAAAGTTTGCTTGTTTATGGATATAATTTGATCAAACTTGGTAAATGTATTTATTTTATACTAAGTTATTAATATTTTACCAAACAACACACTTTTTTACCCTCCCTGTAGCAGCAAGCTTATGTACTCATAAAACCTAAAGTTAATTAAATACATTGAATTGAAAATCAATTCAGGCAACTGGAAATTCGCTTAGTCGGTAGGGGGTATTGTTCTTTACGTTATTTATTGCTATACAGTGTTTAGCAATTTTTGTTTTGTTTAAGTAAGCACAGAGTAAAATTTTTATTACTGAACCAAGGTTAATGACTTAACATATCACGATTGTGCAAATACCAACTGTATTTTGATGATGTAAAATAAAAATTAATCATCACATTAACGTCCATTTATATAGTATTAGGCGTTTATGGGTTTGTAATACATTTTTATTGCGTGTTGGATTAACCGTGGTGTAGAGTGTTTGTGTGTAATAAATTAAAGTTGAAATAAACCCTTAATATGGTTTGTATTCTAATCTTATCTTAAACAATAATAATTTGAGGACAGAGGTTTTAAAGCATGAGGTTTAATGGTACATAAGTTAAATGGTTAATATGGGGTTACAAAAAAATTGTTCAGGGGTGGGGATTCGTGCTGGCCGAATCAAAAGATTTCCAATTTAAATTTTCAATGAGTATGGTAAATTATAAATTTAATAATCTTTCAAAAACAATAAATTAAATAGGAAGGATTTTGATTTTAATTAATGGAGGTAAATAGGGTCCAAATGGATGCTTGAGGAGTCTATAAGTTAGTCTGAGTTAATAAATGGAATGTTCTCACCAATCTTCTGTAATAATAATTTTCTTCTTAGTTTAAAGGCTTAAATTCTTCTTTCTTCAGTAAAATTTGGAAATTTTGACACTACTTTCTTTTATAATATGACAATTATTTTCACAATTAAGAGTTTAAACTTTTATGTTCTTCTTGGATGCTTTTACACTGCACTGTTAATCTCATTGTTGTACCTCATTTTAAGTTATGGGGTTCACATAAATAAAAATATGGTTGAATTTTATTAATAATCTTGAACCCAGATGGATGGTGTTCTGATTGGAGGATTTGTTTTTGAATAATAATTTTGGATAAGCCAATGAATAAATTTTGATAGTAAATTATATATATGTTGAGACAATATGGTTTTAATAATATTAAAAATGGACATGGATAAATATTGAAAATATAACAAGATTGAGTTTGAAAATAAAATAAGGACTATAATTATAAACATTGAATTTTGAGTCATTACAATATCCCCTCAGAAAATATGTAATTAAATTTTTAATAACATGTTTTCGCTAAATGACGAAAAATATATTTAACTTTATACAGCAAATAACAAAAATAGAGATGAAATTGAGTTGAAACAAAAATCTAACAAACTTAACATTAAGGTTTAACTAGAACAAATTTCAGTTGGAATGAACATAACAATAAAATAATTCTAAAATAGCAAAATGATTACTATCCCCTCCTATCTTCTACAAACATTAAAAAACATAACATTAATTTAAGTGGTTAAAACAATTTTTTTTTTATTTTTTACATATTAAATGAATGGAGTGATGAACAAATGTTGAAATATGAAATGAACATGAGACATATAAGAGATGTATGATTCTTATAGGTACCATGGAGTACATTAAATGAATAGTTGTTTGTGATTGCTTGATGATAACCTCTTATAACTAAATACATTAAATTTGTGATTATGACTATAGTTTAACTATTGGGACAGAGGTAACTGGGAAATTGGCTTGTTAACTCACTGCTTGTGTGGGTATGATTTAAAATTCTTCCTTTTTACGACAATGTTTACTGGGTTAAGCGCACATTACAGTTTATCTTCTATCTTCGGTTATGGTGTGTAGATCGGTTCCATGTATTTCTTCATGGAGGATATATATGATAGGGTCCATATAATTTTGTAGAGATCACTTATGTGGTATGTTGATGGTCCAAGTATTGGGGAAATCGGTTTGAAGGTCTTCATGTAATTGTGGGTCTGTGGTTCTTTCTTGGGTAAGTGATATTCTTTGTACATTGTAAAATAGTTTTCTTCATTGTTATAGTAGTTATCATATGGCCTTTGGCAATTGCCTATATCTATTTGACATACTTGTCCCATTTTAATACTCATATCACATTTTAGATTAATATCAGTATCATTAATTGTTAAGCTTAATTTATTTTCATTAGAATCTATCTTTAGTCGGAGTTCTGTTAATGTGTCCATACCAAATATCACAGGTTTAATTAAATTAGGTATGATAAGAAATTGAAGCCAGATGGTCTGATGTTCAATGGTTACAGGGGCATAAATGATTCTTGCAACACGTTTTGATTTTTCACCAGTAGCTGTAGTTATTGTCGTATTAGACAAAGGAAGTTCTTCAAATGGTTGAATTATTTTTTGATTCTCTTTGAAACATTGTTCGGAAATACATGTTATTGTAGAACCAATATCGATTAATGCTTTTGTTGGGAGATTATTGATTCTAATATCTATTTCAGGGCATTTAACTGGTTTGGATACAGGAAATTTATTATTTTCAGTGGGTTCTTATCTTAAATAATATCTTATCTTAAACAATAATAATTTGAGGACAGAGGTTTTAAAGCATGAGGTTTAATGGTACATAAGTTAAATGGTTAATATGGGGTTACAAAAAAATTGTTCAGGGGTGGGGATTCGTGCTGGCCGAATCAAAAGATTTCCAATTTAAATTTTCAATGAGTATGGTAAATTATAAATTTAATAATCTTTCAAAAACAATAAATTAAATAGGAAGGATTTTGATTTTAATTAATGGAGGTAAATAGGGTCCAAATGGATGCTTGAGGAGTCTATAAGTTAGTCTGAGTTAATAAATGGAATGTTCTCACCAATCTTCTGTAATAATAATTTTCTTCTTAGTTTAAAGGCTTAAATTCTTCTTTCTTCAGTAAAATTTGGAAATTTTGACACTACTTTCTTTTATAATATGACAATTATTTTCACAATTAAGAGTTTAAACTTTTATGTTCTTCTTGGATGCTTTTACACTGCACTGTTAATCTCATTGTTGTACCTCATTTTAAGTTATGGGGTTCACATAAATAAAAATATGGTTGAATTTTATTAATAATCTTGAACCCAGATGGATGGTGTTCTGATTGGAGGATTTGTTTTTGAATAATAATTTTGGATAAGCCAATGAATAAATTTTGATAGTAAATTATATATATGTTGAGACAATATGGTTTTAATAATATTAAAAATGGACATGGATAAATATTGAAAATATAACAAGATTGAGTTTGAAAATAAAATAAGGACTATAATTATAAACATTGAATTTTGAGTCATTACAAAGTTATGAGAGAAAAATTGATCAAGTCATTGTAACAAGAAGAACCTGAATGGGATGTTTATTTTTACAATATTATGAATTGCTTAGCAATTATCAGCTGTTGTTTTTAATTTTACATGTGAAGGCTAGTAGAAAAAATTAACTAAAAGAACTGAACATACTCCCGGCCTTGAAGTGTCCTCACTTCAACCGTTAGTTTAGAAAAAACACATTAACACAAAAGTTTGTTCTAGGCCGGCTATAGCAGCTAGTTGCTTTTTTTCTACTTCTGCTTTTCAACCGATACCATCTTTGCTGGGAAACAACTTAAAAACTGTTGCTGGAGACCACCGAAGTCCTAGCTCGTTGAAATGGTGATCATCAGAGTTTCGAAGGAACTTTGGTGTTTAATGATGAAATTGAGAAACAGAAGTGAACAAGTCTTGGTCTTGAGAGTTCATAACACATTTCTTCCATTCAAAGCACTCTTTTTTCAATAATTCAACAAGTTGTTATTGGAGGATGAGCGCTTCCTCTGTAGTTTGTGATGAAGAGTAGCCATTGTCCAGAGCTTCATCGGAAGATACAACCATTTGCCTGGATTGCTTGACTGTCTTTACTGTAGTGGTTTCACTCTTGGTTGGGTTAGCGGCGGCACTGTCTGTTGGTTTAACAGCAACACGATCGGTAGGATAGGTGATATAATTATCAGTAGGATGGATAACAGTACTGTCTCTAGGGATGACAGCAATGTTGGTAGGTTGGATGGCAGCACTGTCACTTGTCAAGGTACTTGAGTTCACTGTTGTATCTGTATTCGTTGGTTGAGGTTTTGTCACTGTCACTGTGGTGTTTCTAATTTTTGAGTTTGTGAACTTAGGAATTGTGATTGCTACCGGCCTCTTTATTGTAATGAATTTTGTTGCAGGTTGTATAAGCTGGGTGCCTTTGATTTGAAACTTATTTGATGAGTTCGGGTTGGTTATATTCACTGAAGTAGTTATCTGAGGTTGAGCTGGACTGCAATTAACCTTGGCCAAATAAGGGTTAGAACCAATTTCTGAAAGCAGCACTTTAATGTAGCTGGTGATGTGGATGAATAGTTCACTGATTTGGTCTTCATCTTCAGCTAAAGTTTCAATGTCCAAATCAAATCATCTTCACTTGACGCACTTACAATGTGATGAAAATAAGAATCAAAGTCTTCTTTCTTCTTCTGGGCTTCTTGCATAAGAGTCTTTAAGGCTTCGTGTTGCACAACTGTTAATGTTTCTTCTTGTTCAACAAGTTGATCTACGATGTTTGTTATTTTGTTGAGACGAGTTTTAATAAAAGATGTGAGTCGTGTATGAGTTTCAATTTTAAAATCACTATTTGGAGATGCCATTGTACAAAGATGAGGAGATAAATGTCAAAAATTCACAAAGTGTAAATGAGTGGGTTAAGAGTTCCAATATGGAAATAAGAGTTTGGTTGGGTAAGAGTTCAGAGGCAAAGAAATCAATGGGTAAATGAGGAAATATTAATATAAGAAGAGTTCTAGTGGATGAGTGTAATTCCAAATCGCTTAAGTAATATCTTGGATCGAAGGACCATTAAATAATGTGGAGTGTTTGTGTATAATAAATTAAAATTATGAGAGAAAAATTAATCAAGTCATTGTAACAAGAAGAACCAGAATGGAATATTTATGTTTACAATATTATGAATTGATTAACAATTATCAGTTGTTGTTTTTAATTTTAAATGTGAAGGCTAGTAGAAAAATTAACTAAAAGAACTGAACCCGTGGTCTCCCCCCTCCCCAATACCTCGGTTAATCGAGGTTCTACTGTAGTGTAAAACCAACAGACTCACGATCATCTGCCCGTCGGATTAACAATCAAAGGAGTGAAATCAGGTAGTGTAAAAGGAACGTAAGGCTTGGATTGGAAGTAATTCTTTATTTGATAATTAATTCTAATTAGACATATCTTTGTACTTCTAAATTTGTAACCAGTTTTAGAATAAAAGTACCAGGGGACCGAGCAGTACTCGATGGTGTTAAATTTGTTGGGAGGTAGTCGCTAGAGTTTTGTGCTAGGCCCAAAAAGTGCAATTTGTGTTCTAGAAAAATTAATTCAAATGATAAATCTACACTTATAGTAACATATAGAATTATAGTTAGTATAAATAATGTTAAAACAAATACAAAATCGATAATATTTAAAACTTCACATAAATAATCTTCCTACTCTGTCTAAAGATAGGGGAAGGACGGGAATAACGGCCAGTCTAAGAGTTTTTTTTACTAGTTAAATAAAAATAATAATAGTAATATTCTTTATTGCTTCAAACAATACCATGATTGCATAGCATGCGTCAACATATACAAAATAATAGAAAAGGGCACAATAGAACAATATAAAGCATAAAATTATAATATGACTAAACGACACAACCAGAGTGTTATATATTTTGCGTTAGATTGGTTAAACCAACTTCAAGCCAATGCGTATTTATTCCCTATGGTCCATGAACTCATCCACCAAGTAGAAAACATTCGACACTAAGAAGCGTCGTAAATTTTGCTTTAAATTTGGTTTTGCTATTTTCATCTCTGATACCTTTCGGCATCTTATTCAGGAGAACAACACCAGCCTGGGATGGCATTCATGCCATTCAGGCAAACCTGTGCTGCACTGGCCTATACACGTCCCTGGATCTAGTGTTGTAATTGTGTACATCTCTTCCCTGTTTAGACTTGCAAAAAAAAATGCAGTCTCTAGGATGTACAGCGCAGCGTGAGCAAGTTATAATCGCGAAAGGCATCCCGGCACAACTCTCTACGTACAAGTTTAGCTGTGATACGGATGGTTTTTTTCTGAAGAATGAAAAGAATCTCTATTCACACTTGGCTTAAAATACCTACCATTCTATGGTCGCCATTTCAAATTAAAGTATTAATGTATAGTATTATATCCTTCATTTCTCTTCCGTTTCAGGCCTTGAAATTGAGTTATTGCCCTACCAGGGTTGTTCCTTAAGAATCGCTCGATAGCCTGAACGTAAAATGTCTTCAGGGGCCCCATTAAAGATAAATCCAGAGGTTGGGATTTTTGTGGCTGCGATGCATACCCTAAGTGGATTTCCCTTGCTATCCAGATGAACTCTTAAGTTCTTTGTATGGGTCCAATGTCCATCTAAGATGACCATCACTGAATCATCTGCAGTTGGTTTGGTGTGTGCTGATAAAATGCATATGCCATTCTAAAAAAATTTCACTCTGCATGCAACCTTTTGGATGGCAAGTGAATGCGTTCCCTGGCAGTGACCCATCGACCAACTCAGCCTTCATTCAAAGTTACCTCTAGCTGACATACACATTACCAAAGAAGATAAAACTCCTCTTTCTGCTGAGGTAACACTGCCAACCTGCCGCCTACCCTTCAAAGCTAGGACTGTGGTTAGTCCAGTCTCATCAACGTTTTATATTCTGTGAGCTGGATAGTTGTGTTTGGATTTATTAATTGAAATGGGCACCTAGTGTGTATTTTAACCTAAAAATGAGTAAAGGATGCGTGTAAAATGGAGTGAGATGATCTATGTAGCATTTTTACCGACTAAGATCAGCTGTTTCATTAGCCAGGATCATTTATTTAAAGCCCAATGATCAGGATCAGCTTGGTCCACTTTCGAACCATCAAAAAGCTACTGACTTTTCTCAGGATCGATTCTGCCACCGTTTAATCGTTAGGCAAGCACTATAACCACTCAGCTACCCATCAATGTAACAGTATACACCATTTTGGCTTAATAAGTTTTAAGGTTTAATAACTTTAAGCACACAATAAAATTTAATTTGGATTATTATACAAGTACAGTAACTTAGATAAAGATAGTTCACAGATCTATTTGTAATTTATATTAGTAAATTGTTTTAAAGTGGATTGTAGAAAATTAATTTAAAAATGTTTTGAGCTTTTGAGGGTTGTTCTCAGTCTTGCAAATGAAGTCCTTTACAGCTATGTGCTTCAAATTATCTATCCATTAGATTTTTTTTTTTTCAAACAGTTAACTAATTCTTTCAGATTGGCCTTTGGTAGTTTAATTTTTATATTGTATTGAATTTGTTGTGATTTTCTTTTGTAGTGGAAATGGTGATGGATTTTACAGCTCAGCGTTTCAGTCCAAACTTGAAGGCAACACCTTACACAACGCAAGCATGCCGAGAGGTTTGTGTCTTTTATTTTATGTTAGGCTTATGTAAGTTATTTGGCTATGTTTTCCTTAAAAATGGGGTTGAGTGAGATAACATTGGTTTAAGTATTGACTTCTCAATGAGACAATTTCTAGATTTTATTTTTATTGTTTGTTGTTGATCCGGGTCAATATAGACAATTTCTAGATGGTTTTCAATATCAGTTTTACAAAGGTATAATAATCTCTGCAGAGTATCTCAAAATAAAAGATCATGATATTAATTTGTGTTTGTAAAATAAGAAAGAAAATTGCATTTGTCTTTAAATACCTATATTCTTATTTACTAATAAAGATGGGAAGGTGGGGCAAGACGGGGTTGAGGCCGTTGAGGGCAAGACGGGGTTTTTGTGATTCCTACCTTAGTGGGTGTCTCAGCCTATCGGTAAATAGTTGAAGTAGTAGATTGTTGCTATGCTTTTGTCTGATAATGCAGCAAGCCAGTTCAAGCAAACCACATGATGCGTAAGGGTCATAGTGTTTTTCACCAACCGTGATGTAATTTTTGCTTTTTTTACGCAAGAATATCTCAGATACATGCTTTTTCCTCATACAACTTATTATCATTAAATGAGAGTTTTTTTAGGGAAGTAATTATTACAACATACAGCTTAATTGATGATATTGTTTATACATTAAACTAACCTAACCTATAAATTGTCCACGGGGCCCAGACAGGGTACTTACTAGGGGGCAAGACCGGGAAGATTTATTTGAAGGATAAGATTAATTTTGGTTATGAAAGTTATTTTGTAATTGTTTAACTGCAGACATTTTTATTTTAAGGAGAAGAATCCTTTTAGTTAGTAATGTTATTAACTTTTTGCCCTTTTTGGTAACTGCAATACTTTTTATTACATAGTAAAGTGTCAATAATATAAATTGGAGTAATTTGTTATTGTTTATAGGAGTAATTTTTGTGTTTTCGGTTGAAAACGTAATATCACTATTGACAACATAATACTTTTTATATTAAAACCAATGTTTTTAAGTTTGTATAGTGTTTAATTGTTTACTAGTGTCCCTGTTGCTCGAATTCGAGCAATTGCTAATTATAACAGGCGTTATTTTAAAAGGAATAACTACCATAATTTCTGATAACTTTAAAAGATTCGACTCAAGGATTATGGAAATACTCAATATGTACATAACAGATCGATATAATCATCATTTCTTGTAAATATCTTATAATTTTTCAGAAGCTGATCTTGTTTATTTAGTGTTTTCTACAAATAGCCTTACTCATAGCCGCATTAGGTTGTCCATAATAAGGATTATAAATGCCATTAAAAAAACATTATTTCTATTTCTTCTCCTAGGTGGTGTTCTATGACTTGCCTATGTTTCCATGGTTTGCAAATCGGCTCTTTCAATGATTACTAAGAAATGCAGCACAGTGTTAACTCAGTTTTCTTTATAGTATATCAATTTATCCAGCCTCTCTGGTTTTTTCCATTGTAATATTTACGCCAACCCAAATTTAAAGGGTAAATATTTAACTTCAACCAAGTGAGTAAATGTCTGTAGCAAACTGTTCAATTAACAAACTTATTGACTGTTTACTGTTAACATATTCTTCTCACTTTTAATTTCTGACAGCAGCTGGAGTTTCATAACGATTTTTGTTTCCCATGTTAATCTTATGGAGAAATACAAAACTTTAAAGGGCCCCAGGGCCTCACTTTCTAATTATTTCCCTAAAAAGAAAAATTCCTGCACAACTTCACGTTACGCTCTTTCCAATGACACCAAAAACATGTCAATCGGTTCAGTAGTTTCGGAGGAGTAATTGTCACAAAAAACCTGCTTGCGTATTAAATAAGTACTAGTTAACCGCCCGTGCTCCGCTACGGGAATATTATCAACGATAAAAGACATAACAATTAACAAATACGTTTTACATTTGTATTTCATTTAGGGGCTGCTTAATTTTTTACATGAAATATATAACTGATAGTTGGTCTGTATAAACTGTTTTATGTTAACCAAACCGATATATTAGTTAACCAAATTAATGTTTTACATTAATTCGAGTTTCATTTGAAAAATAAATAGTATACAACTGTGCAATGCTATAACCTAATAGCCTACTGATGCTATGGAGATAATTTGTTCATGTATATTCCTATATTCGTTGTTTTTTGTTCATTTGTTTTACGGAATAAAGATAGACACTTACATGTAAATAACGCATCAGCAGTCGGTCGCATTTCACTTATCGTTGATCCCATTCTGTTTACGTCGTATATATAAAGTTGGGCATTCTTTGGTTCAATGTTAGAGGGTATTAACGGTCCAATCCGATGGTAAAAGGAGTCCCGCATCTTAAAATTATATAGACTACCCGAAAGGTGTTGATTCAAGTAAGACTTAGAACTCACCATTTCAAATGCAGAGTTGTATGATCTTATATTATTCAAATAGTTTTTTTTTCTTTTGACCCTTAATACTTTATTAGGCTATTATAGTCGCTGTAGCCCCGTTGATAAGATTTTCCGTGAACTCAAAATGTTAATAAAGGAGCTAATTTTACCTTCCCCTTGTGATATTATAAGGAGAATATATTTGTATCCCTGTTAGTCTGTCCTGACTCGAAGTTCGTAGATTTGCAGTAGTAACAAATCCAATTTAACGACCCAATTCAAAAGAGTCGGTGTATTTTTGTAGGGACTTTCAGCGTACATTTAACTCAATCACTGCTCTTTCCTTTTTTCGATGGTTCTCTACGTGTTTTTCGTTCTGTATGTCTCTTTACGCACGGTTACCTTTTCTTTTTCTTTTTCTTTTTGTACTTTTCACACCCTGGGGTTAATGATAAAGTTTTATAAAGCTATAATGACCCGAGTCAACATTGCCATAAAACATCAAGTCACATACTTCTTTGCTAGAAACGAAATTGTAAGTCACAGTTTCTCAAGCACTACAGTGACTTCCCTGTGTACTCGAAAAAAAAATAGTTAGGGCATAGATAACTGATAAATTGTAGTTCCACGTATCCCAGCGTACTCGCCATCTCGATAAGGTATAATTTGGTACTGCTGAACGTCAAACACTGATCTTGAGTAAGATGCATCACCTACTACAAAATGTTTCTATGTTTCCCGCTCATTAGCAATTATCTGTACAACTTGCAAGCGAATTTCCCTATGATTGTTCTGGTGGCTATGGAGAATAAATTATATTGATCCACACAATAAGTTTCCGTCCCCTACTATGGGTATTATTTCACATTTCATACTCAAACTTAAACTTAAACTCAATTACCATTTTCCTTTAGATCACTTCACAGAAAAACTAAAACATTAAAAAAATAGAAAATTTTCACCAAAAACATACAAATAATGTTCAAATACATTTATAAATAATACATTGTGGCATAAAACACTTTTCCTTGATCAAAATCGTGTGTTTATAAACAGGAACTCCTAGATTAATAATTACATACTGAAAGTGAGGTTATAAAAATAATAACAAATGTCAGACAAACATCAAACAGCTGACAAATAATTTATAAACTGTGTTTATATTCTTCAATAAGAATTGTATTGACTCGACCTTTGAAGGGCTGTAGGTCGTAGCCCTTAGAAAAAACGTAAATTCTAAGGAAGTTCGGCAAATCTACACAATATCCCCTTTAATTTGAGACATAAATCTTGAAGATCGGTCCAGTAATTACTGAGAAAACAGTGTTACAACTGTGTATTAAATATATAGATAGATTTGCCTTACTTTGTAATGGTACCCCATCTTGCCCCATCAGTGCACCCCATCTTGCCCTCACTGTAGGGCAAGATAGGGTACTTGGTAAACTATACAAAAACAGGTTTTTGTATATATAAGTTTTTAAGCTAGACGAGTAAAAATATTTATATATACTCTATACAGACTGAAGTTTAAGTTGCAATATCAATTATTTTTGTTAATCAATTAGGAAGCCTTCAAAAAATTATTAAATGCTTAAGTACCCCATCTTACCCCACCTTCCCAGACTAGAATAATAGAGGTGCATCTTATTTCTTAAAAGATGATAGTGTTTTTATTTCACGATTCTGAATCAACCACTTGACACATTTTCATGTTTTTTGTATGAAAGAAAGATAATTTTGAAAGGAAGGGAATTTAAGTATAAGTTTATGCCATGCAAATTTTGACGCATGTTGAGAAATACTTTGTTGAGAAAACTATCGCTTAATTTTTTACCACAACACACTAAACTACATTTGATCAAATCACTTGTACTACCCTACTTCAGTTACTGCAACTCATTGATCAATGACATGAGCTGTGACTCAGGTGGGTATGCTCCAGCGGTCTCAGAATAACTGTTGGAGATTTGTCTATGATCTGCGACGAGTGGAGCATATCACGCCATACTACTTTGAGGCACACATCCTGAAATTAAATGATCAAAGATTCATCAAAATTTTGTCATTGGCTTTTTTAATTTTAAAAATAAGTGTTGCACGACATCCAAATGTCACAACCTCCAAAATATAGTTTTTGAGCTGTTTCACAACGTTCAATATAAACTATTTGACTGTTGCATGGTGTCCAAATCACCATGTCCAAAAGTACAGTAACTGCAATAAACATAGTCTTTCTACAAGCTTTGAACGTCATGGGATTGGTCGTCTTGCAACAGCGCACTTAATACTCTTAGAAACTTAGCAGTAACACAACGTCCGGTCCAAAGCCATTGCCAGTAGTAGTAGTCATTTTGTACGTTCTAGGACAGAGGAGGGAGGAGTGTAGACCACGTGGGTTGAGGTAGGTAACCTCACTTTGCCTAACCTAACCTAACCTTACAGGCAGAGACTGATCCTCTGATTTGGACGACTTTACAGAAACGACAACAGCTTTTGAATCTCATTTTATATAGGACCACCAATAGGTTCTCAACTGCACAAAAATGGCGCCGATTGCATCATTCGGTGCTCATGTTTTCACTAGAGGATTTGTATGAAGATGCAGTATT